TAATTAGTTTATGCTATAAGACTGCATGTACATAGACTATACAAGAGTTTGTATTTGTTTTTAAACACAGAGGAATGTATGGAATAAGGATCAAGGCTCTCCTTGGACGAACAGCGATAGATGCACCAACTATCAACGTGAGGTGAGTTGAGTTTAAAGTGTTTAATTACTCTTGCACGTAGCTGTACTTCCATTACCAAAGTGAACAGAGCGGTTTTCAACTGAGTGTTGTAAAACCGAAACCAAACCAACTACTTACCAGTTAGACTACTCAGCCAATCTCAAACCGTAGCTAGTAAAACCAGAATCAAAACCAAGTAATTACTTGAAAACCGCTCTGATTTAACACAACTGGTTTTGTCGGTTTTAGAGTGGAGCCAGATCCATCCAAAGCTGTAAAGCTGAGTGTGACGTTTGACTCCAAGGCTCCGTGTGTGGTAGGAGAGTTGTTACCAGGTAAGATGTCATACCTCACGGATAGTTTGCGCTCTTAGAAGGGAATCTTTGTTTAAGTATGTGCCTCATCAGCATTAGTTCTGAATATTGGAATGGCATAGCGCGATTAACTTTCCCAAGGAATGTGAGCCCATGTAAAGAATACTTTTTGTGCGACGCGGGCTTAAAAAATCAAAATTTTCAAAGAATGTATTAGCTTATTGGCTTCTTTTCCACCCAAACATTTCGCAGTTTTTGAAAACCCATTTCTCCGTGAATGTCACACCCAAAGAACCAAACATTTCACCACTTACTAAGTTTCACAAGCTCTTTAAATGTGTGGAGTCAATTTATATCGACGATAATACATTCTCTGTGCAAAGTCGAAAAATGTAAACAATGACGTCTTTTGGATGAACAGTACGTTTGCAGTAGCACTATGAAAACACGGTGGTGATGTGACAATTAAGATTGCTGCAAGTTGCCAAGTTTACCGCCTAGAATTCAAACTTAGTTTTTGATTTCGTGTTAACTTTCTCTTTGTGTACGTGACATTGTGTTATTATGGAAAGCGTCATTGACTCACTTGTCGTAGTAATGCGAGTTCATTGTTTGTTGTTTCAGCTGTGTCAGCTCACGTAGTTGGGGAGGATGAGGCAGTGATGAAGGCAGCGAGTGCTAAAGACTTGGTATTAAAGATATGGCACTCCAAGGATGGCCCGGTATCTGACAAACCTCCAGCTCGGGTAAGGACCTTTTAAAACCACAGGACGACCCCGTTCTACCGACACCTTCTTAATACGGACTACCGCTAACTTCGGATAGTTTTGTTTGTCGCGACGAAAAGTTCATATATTTTCTATTACATGAGCCCGCTTAATTCGGACACCGGTTAAAACGGACTACGGCGCTATGGAGGTACTGGTTATTCGCGCACAATGTATGTTTTTATTTGTACAGTGATTACGCCTTGGCCCGGTAGACTCTTTTTATACCCCTAATTATATTTGGAGAGTTCTGAATATCATCCATTAATGAGTTTGTGAGCTCCCTTTTTGCAATAAATTAAGTTACAAAGTTAATGCAAAGACTTGCCTGATGTTTTGGTTCATGGATAGAGTGGATGTAGTCACTGTGGTATTTATTGATAATCCTACAGAATCTACTGCCTGTAGGATTCTAGTGTGTTCTTATGTGAATGTGTGTGAGTTCGCCCCAAAACTCCTTGCATATCTGTCTTTCCTCTTGCAGGCTACAACTTTATACCCATCTAAAAGGAAAGTGTCAGATACGGAAGGCGAATTCTACTTTAGGTATGCTGCATTTGAGTGGGTCAGTGAACTGTCTGAATTCTATGGTATTAGTTCAACTACACGTCTCTTTTGGGTTTTATCAATTTACTCGTGCAATTTCGTAACAAATCAAAGATGGCCGATTATTAATAGAAACACCAGAACATGGAAGAAAAACTGCATTGCTCCAAGACCAACTTTTTTTTTTACGTGAGATTATCCTAAGGTTAAGGGGATCTTTTCCTCCGGGAATGAAAATGTAAGCGAGAAGACCACTCTTCTTTTGAGCTGTAGGTCCTGCCATTAGATTTCTTACTTGCTTGTGTGTTCATCTACAAGGGATCTCAAGGTACCGGACGTTGCAGGGCCATACTGTATGGTGGTACAGTTTGGATCAGGAGGAGCCGTCACTCTCTCAAGTAAACCGGTGAGAATGGGAAATGTGTTGCGCCGTATTACCGTTTACGTATTGTTTGAAATGAATTCAGATCAAAATGATTTTAAACTAGTTTGGATTGTATTTGGTAAAAAACGTTTTAGAGAAACAATTGAGCAAGAAAAATAACGAAAGTAAAGCAACATGACGTTTCGACGACTTCATGTCATCGTTGTCAAAATGAAATGAATCAATTAAAAATAACGGCAAGCTATATTTATAGAAATTAGGATGTGAGGAAATAAATTAGTCAAATTGACATGAAAGCATTCAGTTAAAAAATATTTACATTTGTTTCACATTTGTTAGCGTTAACACGAATCAAACTAGTTTAAAATGTCTGACTATAAAGTCATTTTAAACGAGAACCTACGTGTTGGTTGGTTGGCAACGATGTGATCACGCTTAGTCTTAAGTTACTCTAACTTCGGCAGTGGTTGGCATTCTTGCTGTTTTATCAGGCGTGAAGCCAAGTGTTAAAAACAATCTAGCGGATACACAGAGATATAACCTCAGCTTGTTATTTGTTGCAGATCACGTTTACTGCAAAGGCTGGACAACCAGTGAAGCTTGAACCAGAAACGATTCCTGCTACTCCAACTGTGTCTAACACACAGAGAAACAACAGTCGAATACTCGTCAAAACACTCAAACTACAGCTCAAGGTATACTCATTTACTGTTCTCCGCTGGCACTTGAAGTTCCGTTGTTAAATCGTTTTGCGACGCTTTTGCTTTTGCTTGCATTTTGTTGTTCAGATTTCACAATGATTTGTTCAAGAATGATTTTTGTCGTGTGTGTGCAAGTATTTGTTTAACCTTTTCTTTCACCTGCGCATTGTCGATTGCCTAAAGTAAAAACTCAGCTACAGGTTCAAAGAGATCTTAAATCGTTTTTTGAAAAAGCGCATTGTTAGTGCAGGAGAAATGCATCATTTTTTATTTGTAAAAAAATAAAACTGCTTCTATTACTGAATAAACTGTGAACATTCTTTTCAGGACAAATTTGACAACTTAACTGGCGAGAACCTGAGAGGTAAAGTACTTATCAAGGTGACCACTCCATCAGAAGGCATAGATGAGATTCCCGCCCTGGCAGGGAATGTGTATTCCATGGAGGTACCCCTCTTTAGGGGTGTGGCCACTGTACAGAACCTGCTCATACAGGAAAACACTGCTGGCAAAGATGGACAGGAGTACCTTCTGAACTTCGAAACTCAGATCCCTGCTAATGCCTCTCCTCATCCTATTCCGCCCTTCACACTGGCTTTCTTGTTTTACAATGGTGAGCGTCGGCGTTTATCAATTTCTTTCTTTATTTACGATCTTCAAGCTGTAAGGGTAAATATCGGCCTAACGAAAACAACTTTATTGAAATTAAAATCCGTTTCATTGTCGTTCAGGTTTTCGCCATCCGTGCTCTTATGAATCCTCGTATCTTTGTTTTCTGACCAACTTTGCTTGCAACTTCGCTTCTTAACGAAGTACGGCTGTGTGCATTGCTAACTGAATAAGAGGGAACGTGCAACATTTATCTTGTTTTTCTCTTGTTTAAGATGTCAGGAAACAGCAGCAGATGGCTCAGCTGACAAAAGAGAGAGATCACTTGTTTGAGACGATACGCACGTACCGGCTTCTGTTTGAAACGACACGACAACTTATTAACGAGATGCAAGGTACAGTGTCAAGTTATTGTTAGAGGGTAGGTGGACAGCTAAGGATCTGAACGTAATTTGCTGATTGTTATATGATATTTTGAATCTAGTTTCAGTACACGAAGCCTCTTTACAAGAACAAAAGCTGAGAGGAGAACTTAGGAAACAGAACATTCCAGCAAGTAGCTTAGCTACGGTAAGAATCAAGCGTGATGTGTGATGTGTGATGCATGCTGTGAGTGTGATAACTGGGAAGATCGTGCCATGTCTTCGTAGCTGATTTAATAGACACTCCTGCATGAGTTAAACAATATTTTTGCAAGGTTAGCAAGCAAAACATGAGGTGATAACAAATCACGAAGGACCAAGAGTGGTTGAAATCAGTGAAGACGATCGCCTTATAATGTGTTTTCAGAAATCTTCAACCTGTCCAGTCCTCCGCCATTGATTGTCCGCTACATTCATTAGTGTCCGTCTCTATCTCATCAGGATTACGAAATTAGATAAGCTGTGAATATCAACTGAGACCAAGAAGTTGCTAAGTAACTATAAGTCTCGTACGATATCTTGCTGCCAACTGACGGAGTACTTGTTTGATTATGGGATGGAGAACAGGAGTCAGAATCTAATCCATAGATATTTACACAAGTTGGGTGTGTAACGCAACTCCACTTACGTCAATAGCCACCTACGTCATGCCGAGTTCTCGCACCATGACTTTGCGCGGCCTCGCCCGCCTGGGGCGTATACCGCTAACCAGTACTTCTTTGTTACCAGCCTGCAGCAGTGACGTCACTTATAGACGACTTGTCCAGAAAGAGAGATCAGATCGCCAGTACTCCCAGGAGACAGTGTCTCTTGCATCCGGGACCAAGAGGAGACTCGGGGATTCTGGGAAAGGTTTGTTGGTCTTACGAACTGTATGGAACGTGCAAGCGAATGAGTTTTATTCACAAGTCGTAAATATCTGAAATATCATAAGACTTACAAGCGAGATTTTGAGTGAGTGAAGTAAATGGTACGTTGCAACAAGTGAACAAAACTCGACATTCATATTTACATTTGGATTCTTGCCGAGTCACCCAGTGACATGAGTGCAAGATTAAATGAACAAAATTTAAATACAATAATAAAAAGGGAAAGCTCAAATAAATTGGAATAAAATTACAACAAATAAAAGTGGTCAGAGATGGTAGCCTTAAAAAGTCATTTCCGCGATGCAGATGCAGATGTTCATAGATGTTTGACAATTGGGCAAATTGAAATACAACTTTGGTTGTTTTTCGTTTCGTTTGTTTGTCTTAGAGGTACTGTAAAGTGCAATATTCTGATAAAGTTAATAATTTTATTTTCAGGGTGCTTCAAACATGTATGAATTTCGTTTCTTGCCAGTGTTTACGAGCAAGCCGACGCAAGTTTAGGTTTAATATTACTACATTTTTATCGTCATCAGAAAATTTTGTTCAAGGGCTTAATAACTTATGATATATCCCGTCCCTACCCGTGCAGGTAGCTCATTTAGCTCAAGTAGTGGATGATGACGTAGCGCGAGTATTGTCTTGGCACATGGCGTCTGATATGGACTGTGTTGTCACTCTTACTACTGAAAAGGTTTGTTTAAGATCTGTAATGAATACTCAGGAGTGGGAGGCGCGGTGGCCTCATGGTCAGTGCGCTCGTCTCCGGATCAAGCGGTCGGGATTCGAGCCCTGTCCGGGGACATTGTGTTGTGATATTGGGCAAGACACTTAACTCTCACAGTGGCAAACTTAATGCTGGGAGTAACCCTGCGATGGACTAGCATCCCATCCAGGGGGGGAATAGAAATACTCCTAGTAACTTCATGCTACAGAAACCGGGATAAGCTCCAGCCTGATGAGCCACTTGGCTCGTATGCAGATTTAACCTTCCTTTACCTAATGAATCCAGGGACACCTGAA